TCCGTAGGACGGATAATCCTTTACTTGCAATCTATGGAGAAATTAAAGCTAAAATAATTTGCATCATGGCAATGCGAGCTATTTCACATCGACTCAAACTTCAACCGTTTTGGTCATAGATTTTCTTCTGTAATGCCAATTACGTGTTTTAACAATTTTTATTGTTTATATTTCATCTAAATTACGTATTTTGTTCAAAACCAACCCAATGTGATGTTACCAAATGATTAAACACATGATACGAACGTACCATCTTTCCATTATGCGCATGTCTTTTGTGAAATGAGGATTTGGAAACTTCTTTTCCTTCTCAATGGTTGCATTTTTATTTTCAAGGGGAAGACATTTCCATATTTCCAAATTCTTTAATGAGCACATGTCCTAGATTTTGTTTTTTGGTTACCTCGTATGTAGTCCTAAACGAAAAGAAAGGATATAGTGGTGATATGCATGTGTATGTTTTATTTTTTGCTATAAACGTTATGTTAAACCTGTTTTTGTATCCTTTGATATTTACCTTGATTAAAATAAACGACTTGTTATTGGATAAATATTAACATTTCGCGTTGGCGTTGATGACAATGACATGTTGATGTTGGGCGCCACTTGTTTATCTCTTATCATTGCATTAGATATAATGTAATGTATGCGTGTTTGTGTGTGATTTAATCAGGTGTTCAGTCAACAGTGTTTAAGTATTGTATATCTTATGGGAGAACGGAAAGACGTTTATGAGAATTGAAAGCAGTGACATTTGTCCTGTTATTTAATAGACTCCAAGTGTTTGAACACTGTTAGTGTTAGAACACTGTACAAATTTATCTTTTCCACTTTACTAAGAATATTTGAGTCCTTAAAATTTGTTATAAATATTCATACATACATATGCATTTATGCTAAATAAAACTAAGAACTCCTTTGCATATTTGTAGTATCCGTATTTATATTTCTTGGTCAAAATATCACGTCCGTTTCTTTATTAAGAAATCTTTTTTGTCTAGAAAATTATACAAATAAGATGTTCCACAGAACTTCTGTGGGTAAACAAACTTTTATGGGTCTTTCTATAAGAAATGTTCGACCCTATAATTAAAATAATTTCCATTAGTTATGTATATACCTCCCATGAATCTTTTACAGATGGAAATTGTGAAATCGGAATGATTTAGATAATCAACCCTAAGTGGGTTCCATAGATGCGATTTTTTCAGAGACACACTACCGATCTCATACGTTCGATCGATCTTATAAATGTTTTTCCAAAGTGGAATACACAAATTTGATTTGAATTTGTGAAAACACTAATCAAGGAACTATCTTTGGTAATTTATTGAGAAAAGTCAACATTATCATTGTGGTATAGAACACGAACAACCATCGGTAGCAAATTAAAAATCCCACCCCCCATTCCCGTTTTTGATTTTTCAAGATTTTTAATGGGCTGGTAAATCAATACCAATGCTTGTTCAGGTTTTTAACTTTGCACATATATATTTGAAGATTTAAAAGAGAGGAAAAATTATTTACAAAAAAATTTTGTAATTGTTTTGTTGTTGTTTTTTGTAATTAAAGAGAAGTCCTTATTTTTGCTGGCGGGTATGATAACTCCTCACTGGAACATCGGAATCCGAAAATTCCAACGGTGTTAGAAAGAGTACATGTCTGGCTCTCGTATGAACTAGGATTATTGACTTCGCTCTAAAATTAACAAAATGGCGGACCTAAATATTTTTGGAAAATCGCCGATTTTTGACCATGAACCAAGTTAAAAAAGGAAGATCTTCACCGATAGGCTTTATCCTAGTTCACACGATAGCTATACACTCACAGAGAAAGGTGTAAAAATATGGAATCGATTGGGTTATTAGTTTTTGAGTTATCGTGCCCGCCATTCACAAAAGAGAAAAACGCGTTTAAAGTTTGAGAAGCACTTTAGCCGTCACTTGATGCTGACACAATAAATCGGATATATCTTCAAGAGTTCTTGAGATTTTCACTTGAAATTTTGTAGGGACATTCTTGAATTAGTGTAGATTCGAATTAAATAAAAAAAAATTGAACCCGAGAATGGGGGGGGTCCCCTTAAAGCTAACTTAATGCTCAAGCAAACTGGACTAGTACGCTATTCCAAATTTCGGGCAAATCGAAAGATATATAGGGACTTCTGTGCACCATTTATATAAAATCGGACAAAAATATATATGGGAGCTATATGTAAATCTCAGCCGATTTTCACAAATCTTAGTAAACATCATTTCAGACTCAATTCAGTACGCTGTGCCATATTTCGTGCAAATTGAAGGAAACATAGAGGCTTTGGTGCTCCATTAACATAAAATCGGATGGAAATGTATATGAGAGCTATATATAAATCTGAACCGATTTTTCAAAACTTCACACACATCATTCCAGACTTAATTCAGCACACTAGGCCAAATATTGTGCAAATCAAAAGATATATAAGGACTTTGTACACCATTTCCATTAAATCGGACGAAAATATATACGAGAGCTATATCTAAATCTGAGCCGATTTTCACAAATCTTAGTAAACATCATTTCACACTCAATTCAGTACGCTGTGCCATATTCCGTGCAAATTGAAGGGAACATAGGGGATTTGGCGTTCAATCGGACGAAAATATATGTGGGATTGTCACGAAACTTACCACTCATCATAACAGACTTGCATAGACGATGCATAGGGACTTTTAAATTAAATCGGACGAAAATATATATTGGAGCTATATCTAAATCTAAACCGATCTTTCCCAATTTCAATAGGGTTTGTCCTTGGGTCAAATGAAGGTGCTGTTGCCAATTTCATCCCATTCGGATCATAAATACGACCTGTACTTTGTTTACAATTTAACATGGACAGACAGACGTACTGACATGCATAAATTGACTCGTTATTTTACAAAACTTAGATTAAGATGGAAATCATGCTTCCACTCTCTTTGGTACCTCCCAATAAAAGTAATAAAACCTGTGCAGGCCATAGGCTGAGGGTATACAACTGTCAACAACACCGACTGAAACGTTTTAATATTTTTTTGATGAAAGCCCCTATATATAAAGTCACCCTTTTTTGTATTGTTAAGAGTTTAGCCGCATTTTGCATTCCGGGTTATTGAAGGATGAGAAGTATTTATAGAAAAAATTAATACTTGGTTTGACTTAGTCACCATATAAAAGATCCGCCTCATTTTAAGTACAGTGAACTCTCGAATTTATTCACATTTTTGATTCGACCTGATTTTTTGCCGCTAATTCATTATATACCGAAAATGTTCAATACACCTAAGTCTGTTTTTACATGGTCTTTTTGTACACGGTTTTGATATAACACGGTTTGAAAATTGAAAGTTTTTTTTTTTTTTAAACTGAGTATTTTTATTTTTTTTACACGATTTTATTCCATTTAGCACGATTTGAAATTTTATGTACTTTTTGTCAAATTTAATTTTTGCGATGTATGTTCATATCACAAAAAAGTATTTATGAAAGAAAAAAGTCTGAAACCATTGATAGTATCGATAGTTTGCGAACACTAGCTTAAAGATTTATGTGAATTCCCCTTTAGCGCGTACAAACAATTTTTACTGGTCAAATCAAATGTGAATAGCACTAATTTAGGGGAATTCCCTTTTTTACACGTTTTTTTTACACGGCTTCTTCTGTAAAAACAGACTTAGGTGAATATGCTTTGACATATCTCCCATATAATGATCCCACCATCCATTTAGGTATTTTTAAATGGTTGCAAATTAGTATTCTTAGCGTTTGGTGTGCAAAATACTAATTCCCTGAAAATTGTCGATATAGGAGCATTTTTTGGCATAGGCCTTCTTTTATAGGTCCCGTACATTTTCAGAATACAGAATTTTTCAGCATACTGTAATCTGTTTCTTCAGAGGATATACAATTTTCGTGTCAGATAATTTACAAGTTTTGAGTCCCGACCAATGTCAAATTCATGTTGGGGATGGTATTAAAATATATTAATATTTTACTTCCAGAAAGTATTTTAAAATTTTATATTATCCTCCACCTTGTTAAAAGTAAAACACCAAATGCAATTTATTTGTATGTTATAATTTTTATTTATTTGAAATTAAATAATGCAACCATAAATAAATTATTTCTTTTCCATTTTTTTGTTTTTGTTTTTCTGTTTATAATAATCATCTAATCATTTCATCATTATTTTTGTTTTGCATAATTTTTACACCATATTTTGTTGTTGTAGTTTATTAAGTGTTTTTTATTTCTGTTGTGGTTCTCCTTTATCGTTTCCTTGTAGTTTTTTTTGTCTTTAATTATTCATTTTTCTTTTAGTTTTATTTTTCCCAATAGTATTATTATTATTTTTAAGTATATATATATATTTGTTAGTATGTATGTAATAATTCCCATTGTTGTTAATAAGTTTTTTTGTTCTTGTCGTATTCCACTGCTTCTGTTTTTTTATTATTATAATATTTGGTGAAGTATTATTGGAAATTGTTATTTGTTTATGCAATAAGATTGTTGAGTTTGTGTTTTTTTTTTCATTGAAATACATTTGTTTTCTAGTTGTGTTTATTATTTCGATATTATTTTTATTATTTGAATATAATTGTTGGTTTTTTATATTTATTATATAGTATTATTTGCATTGTTGTTTTTATTATTATTAATAATAAATAGATTTATTTACCATTATTTGTTAAGTATCTTTTCTTCATCTTTGGATTTTTTTAATTGAGGTTATATTTGTCTGGGTGAATGTATGAGTGTGTGTGTTTCGTTTTTGTTAATTGTTGGAAATAAGATTTGAAAATTATTTAATTAGTTTGTGTTTGTTTTCTTAAGAAATGAGAGAAAAAAAATAAATTGGATGATTTTGTTTTATGGGGAGTTTTAAGCAATTTTAACACTGTTTTGTTGTTTTCCTTTTTGTTTTGTTAAGTTGTAGTAGTAGTTGTTGTTGTTATACTTATTTTTTTGCAGCTGATATTAAAAACTAATTCTCTTATACACCGCCTGCTGCTGCATGTTGTTTAGTATCATCTGCGACCAACGATGATGTACCACCACCAGTACCAGCTGCCTGTGGTGGTGGTTGTGGTGGTGGCGGCATATAATATTGTGGTGGATACTGGGGCTGTGGCTCACTGCCTATTAGACCAAGTTTATCTAAATTTGCGGGTTTTGAGATAAAAGGAAGATTTAAAGAAAAAAAAAAATAGCAAAATGTTAGTAAAAGTTCAGTGGATGTTTGGTAGACATATGAACATTGACTGGTAGAGATTATTGAAAGCATTAATAGACACATTCATACATAATTACTTATTTATCTAAAGGTATATAATTATTTTATATTTACATTTTGCATTAGACTGCAAAGGCATAGTATATTAGCTTAGCTTAAGAAATATTAGTTTATATTAAAGATAATTTGTTAAATTGGTTAGTCATTTAGTATTGGAAGACCTTCTGTATTTCATATTTATTTTAAAGCTAGTAGATAAGCCTTCTTTGGATTTCCTGTGTCAAGACCTGATTATGGACGACACATATCCAAGAAAAATCTAAAAAAAATCAAATTTTTATTTTTCAGAAATAATGTACTGTATCTCCAGAATGCAAGGATGTAGCGATGTCAAATGTTTGCATATTCTATCTAGGATAGTTGCATTAAATCTTTGAACAGAAAATTGTTCTGTGATTATGGAAAAAAATCGGGACTCAAAGGCTTAATAAAATATTTTTGTTTGTTTAGTCCGAATCCGATAGAAGTTCTTCTATATATAAAATTGTTAAAAATTCGGACTAAAATATAAATATTAGTTTTGGACGAAGGAGTACACCTTGGACTCACTCGATTTGTGATAAAAATATTCCAAATAGAATATTAAAAATATAACATTGGAATCGATGGTGGGAAATAGTTATAAATGGTATGAAAAATAGTATTTGGTCAAAGTCGTTGACCGAGTGAGACTTGTTTCCTTTCGGATCATAGATAGATAGACTAGACTATTGTGTAAGTTTGAAATAAGGATTTTGTTTTGATATAAGTACAATAAGTGTACGAAAAAGTCTAAATTTAGTACAATTGGGATTGAGTGGTTGACTACACCTTTTTCAAATGTTATTCAAAACGTTTCAACTGCAATTCGAGAATTTCATTTGTAATTCGAAAACTCAATTTGCAATTCATAACATTTCACTTGTAATTCGAGTATGTAATTGGTAATTCACAACTTTTTATTTGTAATTTTAAACTTTTCATATGAAATTCAAAAACTTCCACTTGAAATTTAAAAAAAATCATTTGAAATTGGTATATTTCCATTTGAAATTTGCAGAGTTTCAATTCTACATGAAATTTATAACTTTTCACTTGAAATTTATAATATTTCAGTTGTAATTTGTAACAATTCATTTCAAAATCATACATATTCCTTTTGTGTTACCAATAATATTTTTCGAATTTAAAATTAAATGTTATGAATAACAAATGAAATGTTATGTATTTCAAATCAAATGTTAAGAATTTCAAATGCAATTTTTAAATTTTAAATGGAATTTTATTAATTTCAAATGAAAGTTTATGAATTTCAAATGCAATCCTTATAATTTCAAATGGAAGTTTATGAATTTCAGATGGAATTCTATGAATTTCGAAAGGTATTTTATTAAGGGAACCCCCCCATTCTCGATTTTTTATATTTAAGATTTTAAATGGGCTGGTAAATGAATACCAATGCTTGTTAAGGTTTGTAACTTTGCACATATATATTTGAAGATTTAAAAAGGAAGAAAAACAATTTTTGTTGTTTTTTGTTATCAAAGAAAAGTCCTTATTTTTGATGGCGGGCATGATAACTCCTCACTGCAACATCGGAATCCGAAAATTCCAAGGGTGTTAGAAAGAGTACATGTCTGACTCTCGTATGAACTAGGATTATTGACTTCGCACAACAATTAACAAAATGGCGGAACTTTGATTTTTTTTTTGAAAATCGCATATTTTTTACCGCAAACCAAGTTAAAAAATAAGGAAGATCTTCACCGATTGGCTTTATCCTAGTTCATACGAGAGCTATACACACCCAGAGAAACGTGTCAAAATATGGAACCGATTGGATTATTAGTTTTTGAGTTATCGTGATCGCCATTCGCAAAAGAGAAAAACGTGTTTAAAGTTTGAGAAGCCCTTTAGCCGTCACTTGATGTTGACACAATAAATCGGCTATATCTTCAAGGGTTCTTGAGATTTTAGTGTAGATTCCAATTATATTATAAAATTTTGACCCCGAGAATGGGGGGGGGGTCCCCTTAATTACAAATGAAATTCTCGAATTACAACTGATATGTTATGAATTGCAAATGGAATTCTCGAATTGCAAATTGTATGTTGAGAATTACAAATGGAATTCTCGAATTACATTTGATATGTTTTGAATAACATGCGAAAAAGAGCAAAAGCAAAGAGCAAAAGAGCAAACATTTTGAAATTTGGTATGGGGATTATATTCATACCTTACATCCATAATTTCGGTATTTTTAGGAGTGTGGCAAGCAAATTAGTTATATTTTTATATATTGGATCCCCATCGAGTGGAATATTCGAATATTTCTATCAAAAATATCATTACCCCTCATTATTCAATATTTTAAATACGTTTTTTAACAGAATTGGCTCTAATTTTACCCTGCCGTGTTTGCAACGCTACGAAATATTATCCAGAGACTGGAAATAAGTATCTCGATAAACCTTTTATAGCTCTGCTATAGACAAAATTTGTTCTATACACCACATAGAGGTATACATTATTTATATTTATGGTATAAAATGATATTAGAGTTGAATAGTTCCGGAACGAACTAGTTCATTGGAACTATTCCGATAAAGGAATGATAGGAACTAGGTCCACTTCGTTAGTTCCTTTCACTGATCTTGTTCCTTTCTTCCCATATATTTCAATAGTTCTTGTTCGTTTTTCTGTTGCTGCCAAATTTTTACAAATATGTAAATATGCTCGTCTATTTAATATTGTGTAAATAATAAAAATTATATATATATGTATATATATATAGCAAATGAACTATATGGAGCAGAGGAACAAAAGGAATAGAAAAGATCGATCCGCTTCGTGACCTAGTTTATCCAACTCCACTAATGTCATACATCATACTGGTGTGAGAGATTATTCTATAGCTTTGCAAAAATAATATATAATCATTGATATATCGCTCATTTGCTGCAAGATCGACATAAATCAAAAATCGTGATTTTTCAGTTAATTATGCAGAATTGTTTGCTATATCAGACTTGTGTAAAAAATTCAAAGGAATATATCGTACAGGCTTTTTGAGATTGAGAAGCTGTAGAGGTAAGTAACCTGTACGGTGTAAGTAATTTTTTATTTATACCGGTTATGCAGCAAATGAGCGATATGTTATCAAAAACGTAAAAAAAAAATAAAAAACCACAACAAAATAAGAACACAAACGAAATTAAACAACACAAATAAAATACAATTAAAGCAAATTTAATTATTAATGCCAATAAAGCCAGATAGATTAAAGCCCATTTAAAAGGAAAAAGAAGAACAACAAAAATATAAATCCTAAAATTTAGCTTACAATTTTGAATTTAGTTTAGTGATTTACTAAGACAATTTTTGTTTGGTTTAATTTTGTGCTGAAGGTATTGTGTCAGTGTGGATGTGTTCGTTATTTTCATTAGCCGTTAATGGTTGATGTTGTGCAATTTCTGGTGCTTCGCCAACTGGTTCCGAGGCAATTTGTTCATCTCCTGGCGAGGGATGGTGGTGATGTTGTTGCCTTGAATCTGAATCCATTGCAACAGCACCGCCATGCTCCAATTGTCCCGAATGATGTTTGGAATATTCATGGGGATATTGCTCATTGTATTGTAGTGGTGGTGATGGTTGTGCTTGTGGTGGTGGTGTTGCTGACGAACCACCAAAAAGTGAGTCTAAACATTAAAGAAAATTATGCCATGTGCAAATAGTTTTTACGATAGATAATTGTGCATTAAGGTAGGCGGGGTAGGAGATTGACAAACAAAATAAATTAATTAATCAAATTAAATTATATATTTATAACACATATGATAAAATAAAAGAAAATATATAAATGTTAAATTAACATAGAGGTATATTACACGAGACATTTCTGTCCGATGTGATGGAATGTTAATTAACCCCTGTAGCAAATACATGTATAATAACATTTATGATATCTATTTCTGTGGTAGCTTAAAATTTTTTTATGACTAATTTCACAAATGTAAATTTTTGTTCTTTAGCTATACCTTAATGTATTATTTTTTTAATTAATTATTATATATTTTACCTTAGATTTATTTTTATATTTATATTAAAGTTTTTTTTTACTATATATATATTTTTTATTTTAATATTTGCAGATAAATTTTAATCATGTTCATCTTTTTCTGTAAAATGAATATTTATATTAGAAATCAGTGTAATTATTGTTTTTTTTTTTTTAACACAAAATTTCTTGCTATCGCGATTGAATATTTCATGTATTGTGATTGAATATTAATATATGAACTATTAATATTGAACTATTTTATAATACATCATTTGTTATATATGGAATGTAAATGATTTTTCCCCTTTCACGAACGCTAACAAAATATCAAAATGCAAAATAATGTACGTATGTATACTTAATGATATTTTTTTATTCAGTATACGCAGTATGGACCATAAATAATATGACATTTATGATTTAAAATCGTGAATTCTTGAAATTAATATATCAAATTAAAAAAGTATGAGCTTTTTAATATAGGAGTATATAAATGAGATTTGATATTTAACTTTTACATGGAAGATAGAAAAATGGAATTACTGATTGAATACACTGTTGGCCAAAATTGTATGAATACACTGTTGGCCAAAACTAAAGCAAATGAAATTGCAAACTTAATAAATGTCCTGTAACTTTTTTTTAAAATAAGTTAATAGCATTTTTTTCAGAAATATAAATATGTAATTTATTCACTTTTAAAAAACAAAAAACTTAACCCCAAAATTTATTTTGAAATAAAAAATAATAGTTCCGTTCCAGAACCTAAAAGAATCTACCCATTTTACATGTTTTGCAACTTTTTACTCGAAAACATAGTTGGGCAGACTTGCACACCAGCGTTGATTGATGCTTTAAAAATATTAAATTTAATAAATTCTGAAGAATAATTCATGTTTTTATTTTCCCTTAAACATTTTTTAAGAGAAATTTTGCCCACCATTGCTCGAAAACCATTCCTCAACCCGCAAAACTGGTAAAACATTGAATCAAATTTAAGAGAGCACAAAACAAAATGGCGTTCTCTTTGAAAACTTTTTACTCGAGAAATTTGGTCGAGTAAAAATTGTAAACAGGAACGCTGTTATGTTGATTTTGAAGTATTGCCACCTAATTTTGGCTTATTTACTAGATTTGCGTTCTCGAATTTTTCAAATTATTTTGTACTCTGAGAGCAATTTTGAAATGTTTCCCTTTTACTAGATTTGCTATTAAAAAAGTACTGGAACAGACCAAATGTATGGAAAAATAAATTCACCTAATTTTGCTTGGTCAAAACTAAAACAACTTTTTTAATTTTTTTTCCATAAAATATGTAAATGTAGCTAGTAAACGACATCGTAACCATTAATTTTGTATTACGGTGGCACACGTAATAGGCATTGGATATATAAGACGCTTAATCTGATCCTCGCTTCCTAAATGTTAGGGAAGAGGTTACTTTTGATTTTTGACTCCCGAAACCAATCTCCGGCATGTATATTCGGTGTATATTTAAAGTTATTGTGAAGCTGAAACACCCAAAAGTTTTTAAACACATTTCTAAAAACAATCCGATCCGATCATAATTCTCGTAAACAGATCGAAGTCCATAAAAAGAAAAACAGCCAGTTCGTGTCTGAGCCTTTAAAATTAAACTTTAATGCATCCGAGAACAAAATATTTATCCATTGATTCGGATTCCAATTAATATGAGCTTTTGCGAGAACCACAATTGGCTTCCCGATTTTTCAGAAATAAAAGGGCTTTGTTGAAGGTTTCCGTTGAACTTTGAAATGAAATTTTTTGCCCATTCGATATAATTCGTTGATCAAAATAACTAAAATTTCAGAACTAAATTGTTCTCGAGCAGTAGTTAGTTTTGTTCTATCAATAATTGAGACAATTTATTTTTCCATACATTATCATTTTTATACACATTTTTATACCGCGAAATATTGGTCCTAGACCCACATTTAAGTCATATCTCGACTAGATGAGTCGATCTAGACATGTGTGTCGGTCCGTCCGTCTGTCCATTATAATTTGTAAACACGTGCAGGTCACAGTTATGGGCCAATCTTCACCAATCTTCGAAATTTTGCATGTAGGATGAGTTCGGCTCAATGAAGACCCCTATTGTTTTTGGTAAAGATCGGGTAATATTTAGGGGATGAAATGGAACAGATACTTAATTTTTGTCGGTTTTTCTGGTCGCTTCAGAGGCCACAGTAATGGCCCAAACATCTCGAATTTTTATATGGAGAAGGGGATTGGGCCAAAGAATGTGAGAGTTACACGTAAATATTTACAGGTGCTTACGTATTCAAATATTATTTAATAAATCATTACTACACTAGAGGGCGGGAATATGGCGATGATCCCTTTTGAAATGTTCCAAGAGGTTCCAGAGTAGGTCAGGGACAACGCCTTTATTTTTCTGTGTTGATCAGATAATTATTTTGGGATGAAGTGGAACGAAAAGTTAATTTTTTGTGTTTTTCGATATAATTATAAGCCGAATATCACTACACAATCCACGTTGAAGGGAATATGGGCAAGTAATTAGAAGGGCTGTACTGAATATTGGTAATATTCGGAATCTGCAGAAAGAGTTCGTATGGTCGGCCCCGTCCGACTATGCTGCTCCGCTCACTGGTTTCAAAATGAATTTTACATATATGCTTTTGTTTCTTTTTTTTGTTTTAAGTGAATGAAGTACCCAATTTAAAACTAAAAAATCAACACTATATTTTTATTTTTGATAAAGTTATACGGCATTTATTATCTTTGCAATTTCAGTTGCTTTGTATATATGTGCCCTATATTTGAACTGTAAAAATAAAAATAACAATAATGACTCATAAAGATAGGTTTAATAAATCCACGCCGAGGGCTCTATATTTAAGGCCCTTTTTTAACTCCTGTTTAGAAATACCATTCAAAAACATGTTGAAAACTCAACGATTATTATTTAGAAATCTTTTTGAAAAATCAACGCGTATGTATCGGAATTCCAATTAAAAATAGGTAAAAAAAGTATAGATTTGAAAAACTATTAAAAAGTAACTCGAAAATCCACGGTTATAGCTCTGAAGGACGTTAACAGGATTAATTTTAATTAATAACCAAGCTTATGGTTTTATGAAGGTCTTACGAAAAATAAATTCTAAAATCTAGTTTTTTGGCTCTGAAGTGATTCGCATATTGATCAGAAAAATTATCCAAAATTAAAATTCAAATTCATAATATTTTTCATATAGATAGTAAAAATCACATTTATAAATTCAAAAATACAAAAATGCTGGTTCATTATTATTTGTGTATTTTTGGTCATAACTGAAGTTGTTATTGAGAAATGCATGTGCATAAAATATAATGTATAAATTAATCACAAGCCCATTGAATTGTATACAATATTAAGGATTTGATTTCAGTTTGCATGAAATTACATAACAAGTAATAAAAACAAATAAAATATAAATAATAAAAATCTAAAAAAATAGTAATAATAAAAATGAAAAAAATATGTTGTGAAACTTGCATATATTGGTGGAAATGTACATGTCATTGTATATTATATATGCGTGCAATCGATATTTGAACAAACGGTTATTCAAAAAAAAAAAATATGTATGTGATGCATTAATGTATATTACTTTATGTACACATTACATGTAACCTTTTAATATCCTTAAAATCCTTTTTATTTAATCTTATATATGTAGCTGTAAAATATATTAGAAACTTACTTGCAATAATGCCCACAATAACGAGACCAATAACACCCATTATAATCATCATCTAAAAATCGTAATAATAATAATATTTGTTAATATTTCATATTTGAAATGAAATAAAATGGATATTACCTTCAAATTTTGCAACCAGAACTTTCGTTTCAATTTACCAGCCTGCTGTTCAAATTGTGAGGCACCCTGTTGCAGGGCATCGGCACGATCATCCAATTCCGATAACTTTTGATCTCTTTCGAGTACCTTTTCAACATTTGTTCGCATAATATCAACAACCTGACGAAAAGAAGAAGATAAGGCGAACAATATTTATTAATAAGAAATTCTAAATACAAAATTTTTAATTCATACATGCACATAAAAATAGGAAAGAAACCTTTTGCGGGTTTGCTTCTGATACTCTCCATAAAATATATCAAATATATCATTGATTTTTAGATAATATTAGATTTTTAGATTATATATTCGTCTGTTTGTTTGTTTGTCTGTTTCGCTTCGGCTTAAGTACTGGTTTCTTACTGACGGGGCATGGCTCTCTCAATGCTTTTCTGCATAAGAGAGGCCTTGCCCAGACGGATTTATGTGGGTGCGGGATGACTGAGGACTGGAAGCATATACTGACGGAATGCTGTTACTATGATGACATTAGAGATTTTGCAAGTATGGGTATATCGAATAGAGGGGCGGGGTGGGATTTTAGTAGGGCACTTGAAGATGATCGGACCTTTAGTTGTTTAAGTAGTTTTGCTCGTGAAGCATTTAGGAGAAGGACAGTACTTAGCGGAGGTGGTCCTCGTGCATAGCCCCTTGCAGTTGGGTTTGGTCGGTTGCACCGGGTGGTGGTGGGTTGGTGCGCCGGTTGGCGTTGGTGCGGTTGTTGGTGGAGAGCTGTGGCTGCTGTGCTCTGCTGTCGTTCCGCATCGTGGGAGGTTCGCGGTGTCTCTACTTCGCGGAAGCCACTTCTGCGGTTGTGGATGTCGTGTAGGCTGCTCGTGAGGGCAGTTTCGTTGATTGTTTGTCTTGTGATGTCCGTTGCCGCGGTCCTTGGGCCCTTTGTGCAGTCCGTGAGGACAGCATGTTAATTGTTTGTGTTGTGTGCATTTGTTCATCGTCGCCACTGCCTGTGGCAAAGTCTTCCTTGTCACTTGCGGTTATTTGATGTCGTTGCCGTTGTTATTTTTGTTTTGGGATACCAGCCCGGACTTGTGTCGAACTGGGAGAGGCTTCGGTCTCGAGCCTGAGCGGAGGTTTTCCGTACCGCGGGTGTCAGGTGCCCCTGGATCTGTCGATCCAGCCTGACAGTTGGTGTGGCCCCCTGGGGAGCTTCGCGGGGGTTGTGGTTTCGCCCCTCACCAAGGGGGAGAGTATGCCTTCTGCATGCTCTCCGATTGGTACAGCACTTTGGTGCTGGTGCCCTGGTGGGCGCATATCTGCCTGTGGCTCAGCCACTGCGAGGTAGGCCTATGGGCAGGTACTCGCATAAAACACTTTCAGATACTGTCTGTTTGCCTGTTCGATTGTTGAAAGAACATTTCAACGATTCTAATCCAATTTTCGTATTGAAAATTCGTATTGGTATTGGAGCTACTTTTGGAAATTCGTACTAAGTGTACCATACAAATTCCTTTTTAAAGACTGTCAAATATGTGTCAGACCCCTTTTGGAGTTTATTGGAAGATGATCCAGGTTTAACTATATTTCATGTCAGGAGACAGAACATTAATTGTTCTGATGAAAATCCAACTCTTGAAGACGGCTTCTCAAACTCGCGTTTTTCTTGAAACAATGGCGGCACGATATCTCAAAAACTAAAAATTCAATCCTTTTCAAATTTTAACACGTTTTTTTGTATATACACCTAAGTCTGTTTTTACACGGTCTTTTTGTACACGGTTTTGATATAACACGGTTTGAAAATTGAAGGTTTTTTTTTAAAAAAACTGATTATTTTTAATTAAAAAAAAACTGATAATTTAATTATCATATATATATATATATATATATATATATGAAATAGGATAAATGTAATCGGTCAAGATCTTCCTTATTTTCAAACCCAAAATCTAATTTCACACACAAAACTTTTGTGTTGTGTTAATACCAGAGCCAGACATGTACTCTTTCTAATGCGGTTGGAATTGTTGGATTTTGACGTTCCAGAGAACAGAAATAAAGTCCGCCGGTTTTTGATAGAAAATAAGAAATTTTTCCCAAAATCTAATTTCACACACAACATTTTTGTGCTGTGTTAATACCAGAGTCAGACATGTACTCTTTCTACTGCGGTTGGAATTTTTGGATTCGAACGTTCCAGAGATCGGAAATAAAGTCCGCCGTCAAAAAGAAGGACTTTTCATTAGTTACAAAACACAACTGCAAAACAACATATCTTGTATGTCTTTAAAGGGGGTTCCCTTAAACAAATGATGCGTGTTCATTGTCCATATCCAGTCCATGTGTCACGTAGGCTCTCATAATAGAATTGAGTCTGCTAAGTAAAAAAAAAAACAATCTAATTCGTTCTAGTCGATACAGATATAGGTGTTCTCGTTTGTACAGTCGGACCGCTCTCCCAGATTATTAAGTTCCCTCTTGTAGGGTCTAATTAATGGAAACCATCCCACAAAATTATGGCACGATGATCCTGGCGATGGCGCCCAAACATGCATCATTCTTTTGTACCTGACGATCTAACTTAACTTTTTATATCTGAATCTCACATATGACAGCCCTCCAAACATATTTATATATATTTGTCCATATCCAGTCCATGTGTCACATAGGCTCTCATAATAGAATTGAGTCTGCTAAGTAAAAAAACAATCTGATTCGTTCTAGTCGATTCAGATATAGGTGTTCTCGTTTGTACAGTCGGACCGCTCTCTCAGATTATTAAGTTCCCTCTTGTAGTGTCTAATTAATGGAAACCAGCCCACAAAATTATGGCACGATGATACTGGCGATGGCGCCCAAACATGCATCATTCTTTTTTACCATGCATCTCTCTGTGTGGGGTTAGAGACTCTCTAACTTAACTTTTTATATCTTAATTTCAGATATGACTCCCGTCTAACATATTTATGTATATATATTTATGCTTCTTTTAATTTTTTCCATTTAAAAAATATTTTAGTTCCCATTTAATATTTTCATTTCACTTTTTTTTCGAATATCACCTTACCTCATCGACTTGTGCCTGGGTTTGTTGTAATCGTTTTTGTGCCGCAATCTGTTGAGGATTACGTGGTCCTCCAACAATCTCGCCATCTCCACCCTCACCTGCTGGTGGGGCATCAGCTGGAGGAGCATCGGCTGGTGGTGCTGGATCCGCCCTAAATGTATATAAAATTCATAGCGATTAGTATATAATTTCAATTAAATGTTTCGTATAACACAAAAGCATTTTAAACAAGTACACTGTGAGAAATGTGTTATCAGTTTTGATTTTCTTGTTTTTGTTTTTTCTTTCATGAGTCGTTTTTTTAGCCTTTCTACAATGAACACAGACTTAAGAAAGCCAACCATTTATTGTTATTGCAAACTTACTCTTCCTTTTTCTTATCTTTCTTGCCCATTGTTTGTTTATTTGTTTTGTTTTTAAAGTTTTAATAAACAACAAATATTACTGTTTTGAATGGAAAAAATAGAATAGAAACATTGACAATTATTCAACGTTCTGTCAAGGTTTACAATTTGTTTCTACGTGGTTTTTATCAAGCCATTACTTGGAATGTCGATGAGCAGAGTATTATACAAATGTTGGTTATTTTCGTTTCTGATTTCTTTTTTTTTTTGTATTAAACTACTCGGCAAAGTATTTAAATATTAGGTGCATTGTAAATATTTTATGTGCACTTCGCTAAATTTCCTTATTGATTAGACCCATATAATGTAAGGTTAAAATTTTATATTTGAGTCACCACATAAAATTATGTCAAACCCTAATTAAATTGTGAAAAATCGGTTCAGGTATAGATATTTAGATTTAGATGAATTGAGCCTAGAATGATGAGTGCTAAGATTCCTGAAAATCGGTTTAGATTTAGATATAGCTCCCATATATATTTTCATCCGATTTTATGTTAATAGTGTATGAAATTTCGCATAGGGTACTGAATTGAGCCTAGTATGATATGTGTTAATTTTCGTAAAAATTGATTCAGATTTAGATATAATCCCCATATTTATTTTCGTCCGATTTAATGTAAATGGTGCACCAAAGTCCCTATATATATTTCTATTTGCACGAAATTTGGCACATCGTACTAGATTAAGTCTAAAACGATGTGTGTTAAGTTTTGTGAAAATCGGTTCATATATATTTTCCTCCGATTTTATATAAATAGTGTATCAAGGCTCCTATATATATTTCTATTTGGTACATCGTACTAGCGTACTGAATTGTGTTTAGAATAATGTGTGCTAAGTTTCGTAAGAATCGGTTCAGATTTAGATATAGCTTCTACATATATTTTAGTTCGATTTTATAGTAATGAAACACCAAAGTTCTTACATTTTTTTCCATTTACACGAAATATGACACATCTTACTGGATTAAGTCTAGAATGATGTGTGTTAAATTGCGTGAAAATCGGTTCTGATTTAGGTATAGATCCCATATATATTTTCGTCCGATTTAATGTAAATGGATGCACCATAGTTTCTATATATAGTTCTCTTTGCACGAAATTTGGCACAGCGTACTGGATTAAATCTAAAATGATGTGTATTAAGTTTCGTAAAAATCGGTTTAGATTTAGATATAGCTCTCATATATACTTTCCTCCGATTTTATGTAAATATAGTATCAAGCCCCTATATTTTTTCGATTTTTACGAAATTGGCCTAGCGTATTGAATTGAGTATGAAATGGTGTGTGCTAAGTTTCGTGAAAATCGGTTCAGATTTTGATATAGCTCCCATATGTGTATTTTCGTCCGACTTAATGTAAATGGCGCCCGAATCTACTAATGTTTGTCCGATTGACACGAAATTTTGCACAACGTATCAAGTTCAGATGTTTTGTTGAAATTGGTGCATAGCTTCCATATATATTTCGAACGGGTGTCTGATTGAGATTAAATTTTGAACAGTGCGGCATACCAAATATCAAGTTGGCTTTAAATCGACTCTAAATCTTGGCGAATGACATGAAATTTAGCATAGGTTGCAGAAAGGCATGTGTATGGATTGATTTTAGTCGGTTCACTTATAGATAAAGATAACATATTTATGAAAAGGCGATGCCTGTTAGGATATCATATAGTCTAGTCCGATTTTACTACATTCCTTACTGGTTTTTTTCTGGGGATGTGTCAAAACGTACATCAACATAAAAATGTAAGTCATGTGTTTTTTTTTTGTTTTTGTATACATTGGGAAACGAAAATGTGAATTAAAGGTTAGAAAATTTGGCTAGGTTCTTCAAAATGCGGAAAAAGTAGAAGGTATGTTTCTATGAGGGATATGCTAAAATATGAAATTAAAAAAAATTGGCATGGGCCAATTTTGAAAAAGTGTCAAAACCGAACAAATATTCTTTGCATAATCGTATCCTATTGTAATATTAGAGAATAAATATAATTATTTTAGGGTATTTTTTTAACTCTACCGGCATTAAAATATACAACTTCCGAATAGCATTCTTCTTTAAGCATTCATTGTAACATATTATGTTATATTATTATGGTTAGGTTTTTCTTTTTGGCACATGACTATTATACACTGTTATACAGATTTTTGGACAGCATCACAGAAACAGACAAATGAACAAACGAAACAAAAAACCGAACTTTATTCAATTGATGACCAGAATAATGACGCTAGTAACTGTCATCAGATGAATCATGTAGCCACAAGAAAAAAGTTCAAACAATATTGGGAAAATATGATATGACCTTATATCAAACACACATACACACACACTCTCCTCCATTACACATACTATATAACATATACACTTATGAATGTATATATCTATATACATATATTATTATTATTTTATGCATATGCAATTTTTCGTTGACATGTTCGAACACACATTTCACTCACGATAGAAACCCTATTTTGTTATTATTATGGATTTGTGGAAAATTTTCCAATTCGATATTTGTTAGCTTACATGGTATATACTTGTATTTAATATTACTATATTTATTTAGTTATTAACGGTATATATATATATATATATATGTGTGTGTGTGGGCGGTTTAAACGTTTTGGTGCATAAAATCCTTTAATTAATAGAGGCTAAACCCGTTTTAAAAATTAGAATTTGCACTTGAACTAAAAAGAACACAATGCACACGAATGAATTCCACAAAAACGAATGAGAACAGTGATGGCTGGTTGGTTGGTTGGTGTCGTATTTCTTTTTATGTGTGTATTTTTTTTTTGTTCTTCTCGACGAAAGTATGGCTAAAAATTGTGTACAAGTGTAGAATGAGTACTACGAGTAGGGTTGCCAAACATGTGTATTAATATGTTGGTATTTTTTTTTACTTGGGGTGTTATAAATATATATGCAAAGAAAAGGTCCTGCCAAATTATAAGAAATCCTTGTCCTTGGTAGATTTTCTAACATTTCGCGTAACAAAGTTCTTCGCAGAAAATTTTAAATATAGGTAAATTTGTTGACATATTTCTCATTTAACTTTCTTTTCTTGACATAGTTTTCATATAAGGGTTCCGACACTTTTTTGTTTTGGGTTCTTAACTTTCTCACAGAACACAGACCTATGCTTAGTCCACATTTTTACATAGCATTCTTGTGCATTTTAAGTGTTTTATGGTTCCAGACGTATTTTCCCAGCAAAATGGCTGAAATTTGTCATTCCAGATTTTCCATCTTTTTATAGCATTTTCAAGATCGACTTTCGATTGCCTTCATAAATACTAGATTTATTATCATCTGCCCAAAAATTAGTCATTCCAAAATCAAATCAAATTTTTAGTCGATTTTATAGTTTTGACAGAATCGAAAGATCGAAAAGTCGATTTTTGTGCTCGACTACATATACCTAGTTCAGATCTCTACAATAACTTTATCCCATTTACAGAGTTGGGTAATGCATCTCCAAAATCTCTATAAGAGGCGTTGTTCGGACACTGTTCGGACATGGCAATAAGAAGGAAATCCCATATTATTGAGTTTAAATACAACCGGATGTTCAGAACGAACCAAAAGATAATTTGTTTTATAAAATGAAATAAAAAGTTTAACCTCCTGAAGATTTAAACGAACGGGATGTCACTTTAAAGCTGTGTTATGTTCAGTAGAAGGAATACTTTAGCCTGAGCAGTTTTTTTTTATATCGCTTATAGCGACGATTTCGTCACTCCCTTGACCTTCGTTATAAGCTATTCGGACTGCATATTCTTGACTACAATACAATTCTATGTCGAACAATAAAATCTGTCCGCCAGTCTGTTAAAATCGCCACAGATAACCTATATTAAAGGCCGAAAATTATTTATTCAGTTTCTCACAATAGCTAAAAAAGTTCGAATGATCCGGGGCACACCGAAGTGGCTTTAATTTAGCATTCCTGCTTTTTGCTGGATGATAGGCCGAAAATTATTAATTCAGTTCTAATAAAAAAGTTCCGCCGAAGTTTTACCCAATAGTCCAACCTGGGTGTTCGGTATTAGCATTTCGAGATAACTTAAAACAATGTTCCGGATTTATATCGACGTAATTGTGATAAATCTATTATCTATCAAATTAACGAGAAACAATCACAGAAATTCGACGGATCGACAGGTGGGAGCACATTATTTTAAATATCCTTCATATGTGTTTTATGGTAAAATATAATTTCTTTGTGAAGTTGTTTGTAATCCTTTAAATACAAATCGAATCATTTCTAATTTCATAACAAAAATATGTATAGAAATCCCTTTTGTCACTAGCATTTATACTCATCTGGCAACCCTAACTATAGATGACGAAAAAGTGGTTGAAAGAGAAAGGGACGAGAGGGAAAGGGAAACGGAAAACTAAAATCGATTTTTTTTGTTCACTTACATGTCTTTGGTTTACGAAGCTTCTTTAACGGTTTTTTTGAGCGATAGATTGGGGTTCTTCGTTTTGCTGTTGTTTACGCCTTCGGGGCTCTTTCTCTGGTCGGCTGTTGGTGTATTAGTGAATGGAGGATGTTTGTTTCAATGGAGGGAGAATTATTACACACTGGCGCAAACAAAAAAGTATGTCAGTGTTTGTGTTTGTAATAACCAGCAAACGACGTCCGACGACGACTATAACATTGAGAATATTCTGATGGTGCTGCTCTCCGACGATTTCACAATAGCTTTTTTTGAGTGGGGGTGTTGTAGGATGTGAGGGAAAAACAATTTCACTAGTTGTGTTGGTATTAGCAAATCTTCTTATACACAGAGAGAGAGGAGACGGGAGAGAGCAAGGAATTATACAGATTCGTTGTTATTCCTTCCAAAAATACTGCAAGTTGCTCTCTTCTACGACTTGTATGGTTTTTATATGGTATTTGTTGTTGCTGTTATCTTATAAGTTAGTTAGTTGAATGAAGTCAACTACTTAACTTGTTAGTGACAAAGACAAATGGTGATGGTGACGACGACGACGACGATGTTATCATGGAACGAAAGGAGCACAATTATACACAGGCGCGTTAAAGTCCTGTATTTTTTATTTCAGTTTGGTGTTTTATTCTTTACGGAAGATTATGGAAAAAAGCTTTTCACAACTTGTGTACTCTCCTTTTGCAAGTTTGTTATACTCTGCAACACTGCTGAAAGAAAAAATCTTCGGTTAAAGAGGAAATATTGCAATTTTTATGTAATTTGTTTTTCTTTTTCATCCTTGTGTCCAAAGGAATGAAAACTATATTTTCCATTTTGTTAGAGCTGAAATTTATTTATAATGGTATAAAACTATATAATTTTTTCCTTTCTGATATATTATAGTTATTAACGTTTTTATAATATATATGTATATTGCTTTAGTAATCCATTAAATGTTTGTTCTTCTTTGAATTGTTCTTCTTTCCATTGAAACTTATATATTCACAATATTTCTTTTTCGTCAAAATTGTTGTTCCAGTATTTTCACAAATTATTTAAAAAAAAAATAAGTAATTTTTCTTGTTCAAAATTTTAAATATTTTATATAGATTTTAATTTTTCTTACAAGAGCTCTGCTCAATTTGTCGCACTATCTTAGAGTTTTTTTCTCGATTTCTTAACGCTTAGAGTATAAATGTTGAACTGTTTAGATTTTCCACCATTCATTTGGTGAAAGCTCTACTAACCGTGAATTCCATAACCGTTATACACAAGTATTTTTCATGTTTATGCGATGGTATGCAGTAACGGTTATACACGCTGTATAATTCCATCCCATTTCTTCTCGTTGATTTATATATGTTTGAAAAAGAGAGACAGCAATAGAATCCCAATTTTATGGATTATATTTTAATAAGCTTGCGTTTTGGATGGAAACTACTGGGTGTAGCTAAAATCGAAATAAAGACATTGAACAAAACACATGTTTTCTAACACTATGCTACAAAGAAAGAACGCTTTTAAATTATTGTGAAATTCATATATGTCCTTGAAAATCGGGTGGGATATATTAAAGTTTTTATAGTATTAGTAAACCAATATACTCAATAGAATGAGTATATTGTTGTGCCATGAGCTGATTGGCATATACAGTGACGAGCAGAAACGAGTACATGTTTGTAATTTTGACATTCTTCTTCCAATCACCACAGATTCACTGTCAAAGTTCGACTGAATTATTAGGGGTTGATTGGTACTGTCCCACCTCTCTCTTTACGATTGGCCCCAAATTATCCTTCGGATTGATGTCGAAACTTTGTGCTGACCACTGTGTTAATTGAAAATTTTGATCACGAAGATATTCAATCACGATTTTGGACGAGTGTCTTTTATCACCATCTTGTTCATAATTACTTCTCCTACAGGATAATTACTTCTCCTACAATGCTCTCAATAGAGTTATTTCATTATTTTATTGTAATTTTTTATATCGGTCCAGGACACACAAATTAAAGCCTACGCATACCGTGGCAATTCCTCAACCGTGCTTCACATTGGGCCTTTGAATTAGTTTTCATCACCAATAATGCCTATCGTCAGATTGAAAACGGTTGAATTTGCATTCGTTGGATCCGACTACACTTTTCTAGTCGACTACAGTTCAACTTTTGGTCTAGTTGAAAAGTCTTTTCTCTGATTTTGCAGTTTTTTCCTGCAATACAGATTTTTAGTTTTTTTACTACTGCTATATCCAATGTCGGGAAGGGCTCTTCACGCCGTTCAATGACTAATAGGTTTGACGAGTACTTACAAAGAATATTTTGGTGTTAAAACTTTTCAAATTATATTTCCCTTATCATTAGACGTGGGTCTACAGAACTTATAAGCGGTGTACGACCTCTAATTTGAGGTTTGAGAACAACGGAACACCGTTTTTGTACCCATTTGACCAATAATTGGCACAATTTAAGTCCCTTTGCAATCCAGGGTAGAAAAGCTTCTTTAACTCAAAACCCGAATGACCTCTTCAGTGGTTATTAAATATTTCCTCATGATTTATTATTATTAGTTATGTATTTGATTTTTGTTCAAAACTTCTTCATTTTTTTCTTAGTTTTTTTTTCAAGAGTTAGATTTTCTAATTTAACTTGTTTGGTTAAATACAAAATACCCAATAAAATGCAACCAAAATTTTTTTTGTTTTATTTTTATGACGTAAAAAAATCCAAATTACTAATATGTTCTCGCTTCTGCTCGTCACTGTAGATCATGATTTAAGGTATGTGTAAACAGGGTGTATTTCTGGATTTCGTTAATCGAGTCGAATAAAAATCGTATATGTAAATTTTCTTTTAGCTTTGTTGCGTTAAAACAAAGACACATGACTTCGATGTGCAATGTTGCCAACCATTAGGAATATTACTAGATAAAATTTGACAGATCGAATGTCGAATGAAAGACAGATGTTTTTATTTTAATACATTGCCATATTATTGCATCATGGTCTACATCAATCTCATAAACACAATAAATAAAATGAGTTGGTTTTTATATATTCTTTTTTTCAATAAATGGAGTTTCTAATGATATTTTAAAAATTTCTTAATTATTTACAAATGTAACGGTTATTTTCTGTTAACATATGTTTTAACATGAAGCACTCGTTTACTTACGCCGTTACAACTGTCAAATTCACTACCAACTTTGGACTCTGACTTGCACATCGACGTGTCAAAATACGTCGTTGTCTCTCTCTGTTTAGCAGGGAACGACATCAAATAAAAAGTAAAAGTTTTTCTTGTATTTACGCCAATTCCTTTGTGCAAATATAAAAATAATACACGTGAGAATAATATTAATAATTATTTGTCATTGAAATAATATACATTTATTTAATATCTTCCAGACGTGTACATTGCAATCAAGTTCATTCGTGGTGGTGTACAAACAGCAACAGCAGCAAAATGGTTTTAGCAGATTTGGGTAGAAAAATAACAACTGCCTTGCACTCGTTGAGCAAAGCCACAGTTATCAATGAAGAGGCCTTAAATTCCATGCTTAAGGAAATCTGTGCTGCCCTCTTGGAAGCTGATGTCAATATCCGTTTGGTTAAGCAGTTACGTGAAAATGTTAAGGCTGTCATCGATTTTGATGAAATGGCTGGTGGCTTGAACAAGCGACGCATGATACAAAGTGCAGTGTTTAAGGAATTGATTAAATTGGTTGATCCGGGCGTAAAACCATATCAACCAGTGAAGGGAAAACCAAATGTAATTATGTTTGTTGGTCTTCAGGGTTCGGGTAAGACCACAACGTGTACCAAATTAGCCTATCACTACCAGAAACGTAATTGGAAATCATGTTTGGTGTGTGCCGATACATTCCGTGCTGGTGCCTATGATCAAGTTAAACAAAACGCCACCAAGGCTAGAATACCTTTCTACGGTAGTTATACAGAAATTGATCCTGTTGTCATTGCCCAAGAAGGTGTGGATATGTTTAAACGTGAAGGTTTCGAAATGATTATTGTCGATACATCGGGTCGTCACAAGCAGGAGGAATCATTGTTCGAGGAAATGTTGGCAGTCGCAAATGCTGTCAAACCAGACAATATTATATTCGTTATGGATGCCACAATTGGTCAGGCTTGTGAAGCTCAAGCTAAAGCTTTCAAGGAAAAAGTTGACATTGGTTCGGTTATTATTACCAAATTGGATGGTCATGCGAAAGGTGGTGGTGCATTGTCTGCTGTTGCAGCTACAAATTCACCAATTATTTTCATTGGTACTGGTGAACACATTGACGATTTGGAACCGTTCAAAACAAAACCTTTCGTTAGCAAATTGTTGGGTATGGGTGATATCGAAGGATTGATTGACAAGGTAAGTATGTATGTAGTAAACTGATCTTAATGTTTTTTTAGTTTTATAGGAAATGGTTTTATAAGAAATATAGACGACATCTAAAGTCTGAAAAAGTGCATTAGGAAACGTTGCAACAATTTAGGTATCATATATTGAGATCGTGCTTTCCATAGTAACAAAGGGCAGTTACCACTGCGTTTAAAAAGATACTATACCTACCTATATAAATTCCATGCAAGGCGTTGGCCTGACAATTAACTGAACTATTTGCCAGTGGTTTAGATACTCTAATAAAATCCAACCAAAAAATATAATTTATATAGAGCAATCCATTCTCCGTAAGTTTTGATTCAACTTCATGATAATTTTGCCGGAAGAATTCCGCATTATTTTCATGTATTTCAAGGAAATTATTATCAAAGATACAACGTTGTTGATGAAATCTAGCGTTAACAGCATTTTATAAGCCTAAATACCAAAGACGATCCATAATATGGTGTGAAATGCCCAATATTTGATCAGCCTTTGGGCTAGGCATCAATATTCTCAGTTGTACTTGAGCGACTTGTCCCAACAGCTCGAATTTGTTAACCCGACATATGCTCCTCAATGACGTAAACTGAAACTTTATTTATTTGAAAACTTTTTTAGTGATCGACATTGTATTCCTCTATTAATTTTTAAATATATGTTATATATGACTTTGCTAATCACTCTCCACTTACAGGTCAACGAACTTAAACTCGACGGCAACGAAGAATTATTGGAGAAAATCAAACATGGCCAATTCACCATACGTGATATGTACGAACAATTCCAAAATATTATGAAAATGGGACCATTCTCACAAATTATGGGTATGATACCTGGTTTCTCTCAAGACTTTATGACCAAAGGTGGTGAACAGGAATCAATGGCACGCATCAAACGTATGATGACCATGATGGATAGTATGTGTGATGGTGAATTAGATAATCGCGATGGAGCCAAATTGTTCAGTAAACAGCCACAACGTTGTGTTCGTGTTGCCCAAGGTTCAGGCGTTCTTGAACGTGAAGTAAAGGAATTGATATCCCACTATACGAAATTTGCTGCCGTTGTCAAGAAAATGGGCGGTGTAAAGGGCCTATTCAAACAAGGAGATATGACGAAAAATGTTAATCCTACACAAATGGCAAAACTTAATCAACAAATGGCCAAGATGATTGATCCACGTATGCTGCAACAGATGGGTGGTGTCGGCGGTCTACAGAATATGATGCGTCAATTACAACAGGGAGCAGCCGGTGGCTTAGGTGGTTTAGGGAATTTGATGGGTTTTGGTGGAAAGTGAAGTTCGGGCGTTGTTGCTTTGTCTAACAATGAACTACGCCATTGAAAATCTGGGATGTTTGGATTTTCATTAGTTTATTATTTCTTTTTTTAGCAATATTATTTGTTAAGTGGATGTTTTGTCCGACCTCCCACCCCGTCATTATTAATATCAAAAACAATACAAAAGAAAAAAAGATCAACCTTCATGCATTGTAATATTCCGGTGTAAGTTGTTAATGATTTTGGAAAACAAAAGTTTTATTTAAATGAAAACAGATCACAAAATATCAAATTATTGTTTCCATGGAATTACACGTGTAATTCAATTTGAATTAAGACATCAACAACCATATGAAATACTATACAAACAAATCTTTTAGTCATTTAGTACCATCTAAATTGATTAAAATAAATTCGTGTTTTATATAAAACTATACATTTTTATTTGAAAAGTGTGTGTTATTTTTATTCGATTGTTACGTCTTATATGTTATGTAGTGAATATATATAAAATATACTTCTTGCACATATTTACACTAGGTATACCGTCGCTCCAGGGTGGTGTATGAATACATATTTGAAAAGAACTTATAATAAAAATAAAATATATAATATTAGACTGAATGCGACCACTCTCTATTCGTGTTTTGTAAAAAAATGACAGGCTTGGTGAGAGAACTAATATTTATTAAAATGATTGTAAGAAACTGTCTAACCCAAGAATAGTCAAGATACAACGACAACACTCTATATTGTTGGATTTATTTAAAAAAAAAATTACTAAACGAAACCACCTGCCTTCAAATAAATTATGTTAGAAAATTAATGTTTTCAAATATGTTCTGGTATTAAAGGTTCGAAACGATCGCAATTTTAAATCATCAGATATGTCTTAACTTACACTACTCCAGTTAATAGGCTAAATATTAACATATGCTCTCGTTCTATGCAATATAGCTTCCGATTTGGATTTATATAATTTATCATTTTGCTCAATTCCCATACTTCTACGTTTGTCCGTAGTCGACCTGATTGAGTCTTCAATGACGTATGCCAAGTTTAAGAAAAGGGGTCGCATCATTCTAGTTATCAACGAAGTCGATTTACTTTCGAACCTACAACTAATCGAGGATGCCCCTTAAAATTTTCCACATATGTTGATAAAATAGCTGATGTGTCTTGGAAGGGTTAGGTGGCTGCGAAAAATTCATATATTGCACATACAATTCTGTATTGAAGTTCGCTTTAAATATCTAAATCAGTGTAGGATATCATATAGTCGTAACCGCCGGATTTGGTTAATTTCTTACAAGTCCATAATTTTGTATAAATCCATTTTAAGAAAAAAATGTTTATACGTATATGGTGGGTTATTTCGATGTACTTCGTTTAATTAGGTATTGTGTCCAAGTCTACGAAGCTTGTCACAATTAAATTACACAATAGATGATGCACATTCAAAATCATTACCAATGATGGTAAAATGTCTGTGTGTTTTTAAGGATAAGGTTAGGTCAAACAAAATTAAGACTTTTATAAATAAAAACTTTATTATTGAATACGAAATTCGCCATACTTTTCGGACTAACCTCGTACATATCTATGTATGTATGCAAGAGCTTCATCATCGACGTATTTGCACTTTAATGGTGAACATAAAAAATTCATGTTTTTCTACCAGGCTAACAGAATACACAATTCAATCATTATTTTTTGCTGTTGTCTTGCAAGGTCTTTTCCCGTATATTTGTGTTCAGTTTTCTACCCTATTCCAGATATCACATTGTTGGTTATAAAAGTGTTAAGACACAATGAAAGCAAAAATATGGAGAAGAAAGCCAAACAACAGTAGCACACTACTACTTAAGTATTCCGTTGGTATCGTCATCATCATTACAGCCGATTGAATTTTTCCCTAAAAACCAACAATTTCTTTTGGTAGACATGTGTGTGTGTTTTTACTACACAGTGCTACAGACAAAAAATACAATAACATTTAGAAAACAGTTGGTAGACCTGTCTATCGAATAATTAAACTGAGGCGTGTAGGTTTGACCAAAGAAGAGTTGGAATAGATTGGGTTATATATATTTGTATATTATATATTTTTTGTAACACTGTGTCACATTATAATTTAAAAAGTACTGCTGATTACCACCATGTATGTACGTGAGCTATTATGAGGATTCTTCTGTGGGTAGAAGAACATTATGGCAACTTTCTTGTACATCCAAGGGATATGCGGGCAAAAACAGCACGCTACTGATGATGTTCGTCGTATCATAAAATTAAAGCGTGCTGTGATGGGGTGTGCTTGTGTGCTACATACACTGTAATAACAATCTCCCCCGTTGTCATAAAACCCATCATTAAGCTGTCAATGAAAGATAGTCATAAAATCATCAAACAAGTCAAAATAACAGGCGAACAGCAATCAGGAAATTTCATTGGAGCCAATGTATTGCCGACGTGAAGTGTTTTGAAAATCTTGTATAGCCAGTGATTGCCTCAAATAATTTTGGGTAATTTTCATATACGCAATAAATATTCAGTGGCTTTGTACAACGTTTAAGGGTAGTTAGCTTTAAATTCAATGCATAAATCTTTAATGATGGTTTTGATATTTGAATCCGGTTTTATTAAAGGGTAAACATGTTCAGTTATTTTTACGCCGCACATAGAGTATTTAGAACGTAAAATAATAAATATATTATGAACATTAAAATGTATGTTGATGTAAGAAATAGTTTTGTTTATGTTAAAGTATTGCATATAGGCTGTGTCATACCATTTGAACTTCGAGCGGTATTGTAATAACATTGATGTCATACGAAAGATTATATTCGTATTTTCATAAATCTGACATGCTGTACGTTAAAAATTATTTGCAAAGATACGTTTTGAAATTCACACCTTAATAGCTCTTAATCAGCTCTGAAGAGGAACCTGTAAGGAAAGGAAAACAATTTGGACGTACCTACTATATGGCACCCCACACTAATTCAATTATATACAATAGTGTAAATGTGTTTTGTTGTTTTACGACCGAATATAGGTTGCTCTTAGATTGAAATGGCGAAAATTAAAAATGTTATGCTCTAGGTTTTGTCCCATAACTTTTGAACTACTGGCGGTATTTTAATAAATACGAAATGAAGTATGTGATTTGTTTTTAATATTTTTTAACATCGCACTTTTTTCCGTAGCGAAGTGTATATACCCACATTTGGCATAAGGCTGAGGGTATAAAAACATGACCGATCAGAACATGATATAACTCAATTCAATACGTTATGTAAATTGAAAAAAGATAGACACTACGTACATATAAATGAAAAAGTCGATATATCTTTGAGCTTTATATATGCATTGTCACTATGGAATAAAACTTTAGAATTCCCTCTAATCAGGTTTTCAAGAATTATGAAAATCTGTTAAGTAGTCACCGAGTTATTTGCATTTGAATTCAACGATGTTCCGAAATATACTTATTGTTCTGTTATGGACGCCTATTCTTATAAAATGAAAATGCACACAAAAATGGGTTCTTATAAAAACGGAAATATTTTTTAAATAATATCTACTTTATATGTATATACAGTTGAATTACATAAAAAAATCGAATTACATACGGACTGTGTTTGATCTAGAAGTATGCTATATTTTTCTTTACAAACAAGCAGCAGAAAGAAAATGCCGTTTTTAAAATTCCATTTTTATGTGGTTTTTCATATTCAAGTAATAGGTGCCCGCCCAGCATCGAACAGTAAGTACATTTTTGGGACATCTTTGAATTCAAATGCAAAAAAACTCAGCGACCACAGAACCGATTTACATGAATTTAGCACAAATGGTTCGAGGAAATTCTGAAGTTTTATTCCATATTAACGACATATAACAATATATTTGGACGGAGCCGACCATATGCTACTCTACACAACTAACTCTGAACTCTAACTTTCTGCTGAACTATATTTCGAGCCTGGGTAATATTTCGTGATGTATGCATCTTCTTGACCGAGTACTTTGGCAATTTTCCGAATTATGTTTCCTGGATTTAATCATAAGATTCAAATTTTGTCTGTGGACCCCCTAAAGTATTAACAGTTAATCATGAAAACAGCCATTATTCTTCGTTGGTCAGAACCCCTTCCCCGTAAACAATTGTGATATTCGGTTAATAAAAGCGGCCTATAGAGTAACGATAAAAACAGACAAAAATAATGTTTTCGGTCCATATCACCCCCTAAATATCATCTGATCATAACCGAAATATAACATATATGCGTCGTCCTTGGCTATAACCGGAACTTCGTGTAAGACATCCAGCCTTATTCTGGATATTCGCTGGGAGATATCTCGCATAAAAAAAAATTTTCGCTTTCACATTCTCGCCTTATTCTGAATGAATAGGGAGACGCAAAAAATGCGAGATGCAGATTCGAGTTTTCGAAAATGGTGGTTGAAAAAAAGATTCGTGTTGCCATATCGTAAATTAAGTTGCGCTGTGTGTGGCCATATTGTAATTTAAGTTGCAATGTGTGTTGCCCCATTGTAATTTAATTGTGTAATATTTTTCAATATATTATTTATTGATTTTTGTTATTAAAAATTGTTACTTTTTATTGTTATTTAAACTTTATAGCAATACAAATGTGAAATATCAAGAATCCGCTGTATAAATGCTTTGCAATTAAAAGAAAATAAATTAAAGTTTGAAAATATGGCAACCTACAATATGGCTTGTGAAACAGCTGTTCATTGTTTTGATGCAATTTGTTGCAACAACTACAATAGATTACAAATAAAAGAACATTTTTTTATGATGGCAAAAACACAACGAATAATAGGAAGAAATCTGCGATTTAATTAATTAATTCACAGTTTATTATTTCACTACATAATTGTGTGCCTTTTTATTTAATTTTGATATTTTATCTCCCCAAATTCTTAAAGTGGTCAGTTATGTTATGATTTGCTCCTACTCCTTTATTTCTTCCTTCAAATCATGCACACGATA